GCTCTTCTTCTGCCTTGGGGGGAAGGCAGTGATAGTAGTATGTCAAAGGGGCATAAAAACAGCAAAAGACAAAAGGACCTGAACCACGTGGTGAGATTTTATGGCCCAGAAAGGGTCAAGGGATAGGCATTTCAGTATCTAGCAGAGCATGAAAACAGGACCTATTGTTTCATGTACTTCTGCCTGAGGGAAATGGGGGAAAAAGGTGAGAGCATGCATTGGAGATACTGACAACCTGCTTTGCTTTGTTTTCTGTAGACAGATTCTCCCTCTAGATTCACAGAGTCAACAGAGTTTCTCCCTCTGGAATGTCTGCATATGCATTCCTTCTCTAGGTTCACCACAACAGAGCACTTCAAAGCTACTGATAAATGTATCCTCCTCACCCACTCTGCACTGAGGAAGTATTCTTTCTATTTTCCGGATAGACAACTGAGGCAAAGAATGACCTGATTAAATTTGCCCAAGGCAAGACAACGAAACCCAGATCTGTTTCTACCCATTCCAGTGCCCTAAACCCACTCCAAAATTATGCTGGCAATCTGTGGAACTCACTCATTTTCCTGACTATCAAAATCACAAATATTGACTCATTTTTTTTGCTCATTGGGTTTATATGCCATCCTTCCCCCAAAAAACCCAAAACAAAACCCTCAGAGGAAGAAGACCAAATCACTTATTAAATCAGATAAAATATTAAACATTATATATGAACACAAAACTTCCAAACACTACACCAACTCAATCTTGCTTGCCAAATTCCTGCCTTAATAAAGCCTTGTAGCGCTTCCAGGAGATTCATAGATTGTAAGGCCAGAAGGGATCTTGGAAGATCAAGATGTCCAGGCTTGGGCTCTGGTGGATGACATGGGGGAGGGAGTTCCAGAGCAAAGGAGCTACTACCAAGAACAGCCTCCCATACATTTTTTGCTGGATGGATTTGATGCACAGATGGTACTAGCAGGAGGTTGTTTTTGGCTGACCCTAGGCACTGAGACAGGACATAAGGGAGAAAAGATAACACTGCCCAAAGTATCTCAGCTAATTGTGCATGATTCCTGGCATGGATTCACATACTACACGATAGGGGCAAAACTCACTATTAAGCTAACTGTGCCTTCTTACACCAGCAAAATTCAGGTATGAACTCATTCTTGGGGTTCACAGAGGCAGCAGTTATGCAGTCCTAGGCGGCTTAAAGTTCTGGTGGACGCTCCTTAGAAACTTAATTGGTGGGTGTTGCAATGGAGATTCTCCAAATCAGCACATTACCTGGTCTGTTTGAAATTCCACTCCCTACCTTCTTATCAGTGGGTGGGATTTTAACTAACTAACAATTCTTTACTAAAGACTATGTTGCATAGCGTACATTGCAGACACTAAGGTGGGAGATTTCTGTTAGCAAGTTTCTTCCACGCTTAATAGGAAAATATTGTTCACACTCTGAGGAATTTAACATCTGGAATGTTGTTATCTTCCAGCCATCTGCCTCTATGAATGCTTTCAGATAAATGCTATGTACTGTGCACATTCACAGCCTCCAAAAGTTTGAAGAAAGGTCAATGGATTTTTTTTAACTAGTTAGGTTTTCCACTATTCTATTATAACGAGTAAGGCAATGATTTTAAAGGATATACACTTCTCCCGACAAAGGACATACACTGCTTCTCTTCACTACAAAGGCAGCTTTTGTTTCTTTTGCTATTCTGAGTTTCATGAACTCCATCCTTTAAAGGTTAGTACAGTGAAGGCAGATGTTCCTCTGATCAACTCATGGATAATGTTTCTCTTATAATATCTTGATGCAGGTCCTGTTTTAACTTCAATAATTGCCAGCAATGGAAAAACCCACTCATTATTTTGGGAGTAATGCCATCATCTGTGAATAATTACATTTTATGAAGGGGGAAAAAAAGAGAAACAAGTACACACACACAAATCCATGCAGTTAGTAGGCAGTAAAACAAGATCTGAATTCAGAATGGTTTCACTGGACTTACATAAAACAAAATTCACATGGCAATAGAATGAATACACATGGACTTGACAAAACACTGCATTTGATAAGAATGAAAAAAGGTAAATGTTGAATTGTAGAGACAGCTACCTAGAATACAAGATTAAAAAAAATGCCAAAATATAACTTAACATGTTACCAATACTTGTACAGCAACATATTTTTACCCATGTGAGAAATATAATTGGCTT